ATACTCGCTTTAACGACGTCCGCGCGGTGTCCACGAGGAGAACGAGAGAGAGAGCGATGGAAAATGTTAAAACGTCTAACTGTATCTCCGCCGAGAATTCGAAAAATCATCGCACGGAGAGATCATTGATCCTTGATCCTTGTAACGACGAGGCCTCCGGGATCCTCGTTTGCCGGAATGATTTTTTGCCTTTCCGCTCGATCGATCCCGACCGGCGCAGCGCGCAGCGCGGTGATCACAGCCGACTCCCACTTCCTCGAGTCACTCGTCGAGTAACCCCGCGGCGTAATCCAACTCGGCACGCACATCGGAATCCGAACGCACTATATAGGATCGAAGCTGCTGCTGCTATTGCTGCTGCTGCTGCTGCTGCTGCACGCTCGCGATCCACCGGAAATCTTCCGCTGATAATATTTCCTCTGATATATTCGATGTGTTATCGCGTGACCCATTCGCCCGCAACGAACCACGCCTCGCGGCGCCGAGGCGAGCCAGGCCGAGCCGAGCCGAGCCAAGAGCCGTAATTCTTTTTTTTTTTGCCAGAACGATAAGAGTCTTGTTCAATGTCAAGATCTTACATCGTGTCGATTTTCCATGTTGACACGTTCGATTAATAATAGGATTCGCGTTTTTTAAATCTTCCTGTTTTACACGCAAGGATTCATGAACGAAGACGTTTTTTTCACGCGAACTGTATTCGTTTTGCGACGCGTTGTAAAAGATTACGGAAAATATAACTCTCGAGGATCAAATGAGTGTGAAAAAAGTCATTGAGATTTCGATCAACTTTTGGTATCTTCATTCCTCACATTTTGACTAGGAATTTTATGATCGTCGTTTGTCTTTCAATATCGTCTGTACTTACGAAATTGTCGTCTTCAATATCGACAAGCTTGATTATTAAATATCAACACGAAATTGTCGTCTTTAATATCGACAAGCTTGATTATTAAATATCAACACGGTAATAATTTATAATAAATTTTTAGTAAACAATAAAATTCCACCGTCAATAGACACTTTTGAGTGAGACGCTATCCGTCGCTGTCAATATTTCGATACTCGAATTTAGTTCAGGTTGCAAGACGTCAATTGATTAATCAAACTGGACCAGTTAATTATCGATCAAAGAGTGGGGATCAAGATTGAGAGTAACAGGATTGAAAAGCGCGAAATAGCAATCATCGAATCACTATCGATCACGAATCGTGATGGAAGAAGGAAACTCATCTCGGACTTTTCTTCCTCCGCCTCTTTCCGTCCACTACATAGCAGCTTCAATAACTTTGATTATTCATGATGATCCCCGAGAGCTGTCTTGAGTATTCCGGAGTGACTTGAAACCACCGAAACGAGAGCATCAGTCGGTCGCATTTTTCGGCATGTCGATTCGAACTCGGCGCGTATTATCATCGTCCTGTCTTCGTTGTTAAAGGAAAAAAAATCGGCGCGGAATCGCGACGATAACCCTGCCCTAGGATAACCCGACGCACTCCTGCCCGTTCAAGCATCAGCGAGCGACTGAGGGCTGCAGACAGCAGGCCCAGAAACGGGGCCCGCCACGCCACGGTCCCGGCTCTCTCGCGGAGCCCCCCGCGCCGTGTTTCAGGACCAGTTCGGTCGCTTCGGCCGACGCTGCGAGGGAAGGATGCTGTGCTCTCTGAGGACTCCCCACCTGACCGGGGAACTTATGTCCTACGTCCTACGTCGTGCATTCCGCGTCCTGCGCCCCGTCGGAGCTCCCTCTTCCCCACCTGATCGCGGTGCACGCATTTCGCGCCCTCGATCAAGACGCTCGGGAAGATCGCTCCGTATCTTCCGGCGCGCGACACTTACAATGTGCAATTTGGCCAATTTGGAAGAATAGAAGCACTTTATTGCGCAAGATTATTCTGCATTTTTTTCTGTTTTCAGACTATTTCGTTTAAGCAGATTAGTTTTCGGACTTGAACAGGTTCAAAATAATATATTCCTTTTATTGGAAAAATTTTGAGAGAAAATAAAAAATACAGTGAAATTATTTCTTATAATATATAATAGAATAAAATGTGGTTTTACGCTTCTAAACTGACAAATAAAACTTGACGATAATTGAAATAAATTTTATAATATCTATAAATTAATGTTAATAGATGATAAGACATATAACAATAATTAATTTTTTTAAACTTGAAATTAATATTTTCAATTTTTTTTATCTAGAAAAGAGATTTGATTTTTATATTCTGAGCTTTTATATACGTATTTTGGCATGTATCAAGTTACAACATCAAACATCTTATATTTCATCATTATTCTATTCTCCCCTTTAAAATTTAACAGTCTGTATGGAATTAATCCTATTATATGCAGAAAATTGTAGTGCTTAGAATAATTAATCAAAGATGATCAAACAAAAATCCAATATTATCTTTTTTTTTATATATTTAATTAATAAGAATATCATCAAAATATTTTAACAAGTAAAATTAATATGCAAAACCCTAATAATAATAAATCATTTTTTATGGCTAATGTAAAATAGATAATTAGCCACTATGCCAGAGATAAAATTGTAAACAGTTTCTTCTTTATCTTTGATTGACAAATTGTAGCCTATTTTAATTGATTTATGCATATTACGCCATACTTCTTCAGTAATGGATTCTCCTCAAGAATCAGTATCAAAATTAATTAATTAATTTATTTTAATTTATTTATGCTCCGCATAGAAACATGCTTATAAACAAGGGAATGGATAAATAGGCGTAATAATTTGTTTCTAGTGAAGCTGTGGATTCGCTAACTCGTTTGTCCCCTTCTTCGGGGCTATTCGTGCTGCCAATCGCGTCATGTACCCCCTCATGGTCCCCCTGGTCCAACCTCTTCGCGTCCGACGGGAGCCAATCGCGTGTCTAACGTACGATCTAATGCCTCGCTCGTAACGGGTGTCGAAAGTGGAGGGAGATCGTCGTCCTTATGAAAGACTTACGGGTCCCAGCGATTTAGATTGTCGGCGTTGCGTTACGCGTTGTCAGGTCACGGTGTTTGTGATTCGTATTACCACAAATTGACAATCACGTCTCGAAATTAAATCTCTTACCTTTGAAATAAAAGAATTTGATTAATCCTGCATTCTAAACTTTTGCGTGTGCTACATAAAAATGAATACTAGAGAAATAAGTAAACTTCAGAACGAGAATCATTTAAATATGATTAGATACACACGTGTACAATTTTCGTCTCTTCTTTAAATTTGAAATGATGTAACAGCACGACATAATATTACAAAATTAATTGTATAGAATGTTACATATTCACGCGTCAATAGATAAGACATTTTCATTATGTTGAAAAATTTTCGCGCACTGCGCTAACTAGCGCAAATAAGCGATGTATTTAAGTTTGAGTAAGTTTTATAAATTATAAGTTTTTATAAGACATGAGTGTGCACGAGCGCACGGGAGCATTTTTCAAGTGTACGTGAGATTGATCCAGCTACGGGAATCAGGTTCGGTAACTTGCCCCATCCATCACTAACCCGGACAGCCAGATGTTCGCAGGGGGTACAATGGTCGTATATGGTATTACCCCTTCGTGCATAATGCCGCTAGCAGAAATTATCCAGCAGCACCCTCCTCACGGCCGCTCGGACGTAGAAAATTTTGGATTTTACGTCTGGTAGGATCTTTTCTCTTCCTGTGGCGCAGCCGTCTTTGTTACAGAGACTGATCCGATCGTGAACTTATTATATGAAGTAAAGAATTCCCATTCGAATTTGGCACAATCATGGAAAAATCAATTTAATTTATTTAATTATTTCAATCTTATATTTTTTTTTTATTTCCACGACTATGATAATTATTCCTTCAATCTGTGTCAATGGACAGCTGACAATGATCATCTCAATGTGATGCACAGCATTATCGCACAATATTTTGACGCGTCGCATTTTGTGAGATTATTTTATATTCACACGCGACTTATATAAATCGTATACGTATACATCGATACGTAATGTTTCGTTGAAATGCTCGCTCAAATATTTGCAATCGTGTATACATTGAGAAAAGCGCTGTCTATAAATAGGATCACGTGCAGTGATCGCTGCAGTTCTTTCTCGAGTCCTTCGAATATATCGTCTCTTACTTCGAGGAACATCCCCTGCAAGAGACAGAGTTTTGCCGCAGGTGGTACGGCCCACGAACGACGCGGCGCGGCGTTTTCGCATCACATATACGTCGTCCGCTGACCGGTTCGAACCGCCAAGCCGCGTCGGAGCCCCACCGCGCTCCACCCGATTCACCGTGGGAATAAAGCTTTCAATTAGCCGCGATGTCGCGAGTTAAGCGGCAATTAATCGTTCCGTGTGCTAAAATTAAACAAGTCCGAGAAACACGACGCATTTTTCCACACGTCGCCTGTAAACAAACGTAAACTTCGTCCGCACGTTCTTCGAAGATGTTAATCACTCTTAACACGAAGTTTCTGTACTTTAATCACTTTGCTGTGGTTCGATTCGTATATCGCCATTGATAAATATCGGTGATTATGAATGCCTGTATATGTATGCGATGATCATTCCTGCGAAAACTTGGTGGATCTACATACTAAAACTTTCTTTGTAGATAGCTAAATCTTAATATATTAGATGTATATTTTTGATTAAAACGTGAAGGAGCAAAAAGAGCCAACGCCATGCGAAAAGGACATCCTTTTTTAGGTTTACAAGCTTTCCTAGGTGTCAAAGTAACAAATAAAACGCGCGTAATCATTAAAAATATAATATCGCTCATTCACGTTTTAATTTGATATTTTTTTTTCATTTTTGCCTTTATAATTTTTGTATATTTTTAGTTCTGTAATAACGCAATATTTTGGAATAACCGCAAAAAGGTTAATTCGTAAATTCGTGTATCTATTTTCAACGGTTTAAAAAAATCGGCTTCCAAAAATGTTGATGCTTATTACGAATGTATATTAAACATATGACATCAAACTTTGTCCATATTATTCCACAGAAAAAGTTTCTGGCGTCTACCCCCGAAGTGACCGTTAACAATCTCAAGCAATATAACAAAGAGAATAATAATCCGAATCCGAAAATCACACCTTGTCCGTTGATACCGAAACAACTCTATCAAGGAGACAGATTCATCCCGTGTCGACGTGGGTACAACTTTGATAGGGCTCATTATCTAGTAACAAAGGAATCGGAAAACGATGACGGACGACATATACTAGATGTTTCTAAACAGGTATGAAATGTGTACGAAATGTTAATTAATTATTGATAATTCTGATTACGTAAATGCATATATTTTAATTTTCTTAAAAAAATAGATCGAAATGTTAGACGCTATGCATCGACGCGAAGCTATGCAGTTGATGATATCACAGCAAGCGTTTATATCAGGTAACGTTCAAATTTAATCTGCATAATCTATTTTGTAACATAATTAATTCTAAAACGCTCAAGTGATTTTTTTGTATGAGTATTATACAAGAGTATTATACAAGAAAATCAAATAAAAAAATTACTTATGCCTGCATAAATAATTTTTCTAATTTTTATTTTCTTGTTTTTTAGATAAAAAATCTCTATTTGTAATTATTTAAACTATCTAATTATTTTATATATAAAACTTTTCAAAATTCTATGCATGCAGAAAAAATTATGTAAAACTGTATTCATAACGCCGAGTGCAAAATTTTTCTCTTTTTAGCATTAAGATAAAAAATTTTATACAAATACGAGAGCATTTCTCTTCTATTTAAAATAGGATATTGCTTATTGACAGGTGTGAATCAAAAGAGGATTCTACACTTTTCAACGACGCCATCTCAAAAAACGAACTTCACATATTCTCCAGATTTCCAAAAAACTGGAAAGTGGAAATGCGTACCGCGTAAAAGACCTCTGATAGGAAGTATGGAGAAAATGTTTTCGATAGATAATTTTTCCAATTTAGAAGGTACGTCGCAGTCGAGAAACAAAGTATAATTAATTATTAATCCATACATCAATTCTTAATATTGAAGATGGGAATGATGCTATGATGGATTGGAGCTGCAATGACCTGATTGGTATGGGCAAACACGATTGCGTGAAAGTATACAATAGCCAAGGCGAGACGTTGACAACGTGGACCGAAAGTGGACAGCTCAGCATCATTAAATGGAGCAATGATGGTAAATATAAAGTATATGGTGAAATATATGTATATAACATATCACACAAACTTATTGAAATTTGTCGTTCCGAATCACTTAAAACAGACACGACAATACGACAATGCTTTGATAAATTATATTTCTTATTTTATAGATAAATCTTTGATTTTTTCTAAAGAGAATCGTATAATTGTATTTCGCTAATCTTTGAACGAAATTTAATACGTACCGAACTTGCATAATAGTGAAAATGATCTTTTCTTATTCGATTTTTTTTAATGTATGCTAAAAAATAATCAAGCAGTGTCTCATTTCAATATAAATAGTAATCGAGTCACATTGTATCATTTTAGGCAGAAAACTAGCAATAGGCATACGAGAATTTGGATTCTCGAAGCTCATTCTGTACGATTTAGAAAGGAATAAGAGCCTGTGGAGCCACATTTGTTTTTGCGTTTATAGGCTTTTGTCCTTTGATAACGACGGACTGGAAGCATGCGTAAGCATTCGTTGTATCTGCTGGACTCTGGATGATCGTCAAATTATCATGTAAATATCGCCTTTACAATTAATTCTGCCGAGATGTAAAGTAATGAAGAACAAAAGTTGCACTCATTTATATTACCATATTACATTCTATTCGGAATTTAAAAGACACACTTTCCTATCATCAATCTGATGCATCGAGAAATACAGACGATTGGAATCACATATTGCTCGTTATTGAGAAACAAAAGTTAATTGCAATTTATCGTTTAAGTAAATATAGAATCTCTTTTTCTAATGCCGCGTTGAAGATTTTATATTATTTCGCACTTTCATCATTAACAATTTCATGTCCTTGTATGGAGAACCCAAGATAGTCGAAATTATTCAAATGAATAATGAAAACGGAAGAAAGTGACGCTGTAATAATAATAAAATAAAGTAATAAGATTGATTTCTCTCTCTCGAAAGTAATAAATAAAAATTAACGTTATTCGTTAACAGAGGATGCACCAACATGATTTCGCTGTATGCAGCTGATACGGGCACGGTGCTACATGCGATAGTTGTCAATTCTGTCCTAACAATGAATCTATCGCCAAATTTTAAATATCTCGCAGTAGTTACGCAGGATTATCGCTGCCGAGTATTTCTCTGGCCGGAGATGATTCTTCACATGCAAACTCGCTTTCGCAGTATGATAAAGGTAAGTGCCGCGAACTGTTCAACCGTAATTAACCTCGCACTCGCTCGACAAAATCGAGAGTTAACAATTAATATTCGTTCGCGAATAAACAAGTGATAAAGATGGTGAAAGTATAGGTGTATGTATTTATATTTGATGCAGGCAATCGCTTGGCACCCGGAAACGTCCGGCCAGCTTTGTATAGGCAACGAAACCGGGTTATTGGTGATATGTGACTGTATAAAAAAAACAAAGCCGCATTTCATCAACACAAAGTTCGAAAGTTCTGTAGAACATCTCCTTTGGAACAAGTTAAGCGGCGAGCTACTTGTCCACTGGAGTTACAAAGAGGAGAACACGCAATACACCATCATTCCAATACTCGCCCATTTGAATAAAGTTGTCGATACGGTCCCATTGAATAAGGAAACACAGCCTTCTTTTATCAAATTCAATGCTGCACACGATAAACTGAGTATGTAAATCATATTTTGTTTTATTCTTTAAATATTTTTCCGCGTATTTTTAATTAAGCTACTTGTTATTTGTTATAGTAATATTTGCAGATGATACTATCGCAATATGGAACTTTTTCGGCCCTAGATCATGTTTTCAAGAAAGCGTACCTCTTTATAGCTACAAAAAAGGAATAATTAACTTTAATCCAATCCGATAGTTTATAATTTTTAAAACTTAAAACTTAATTAAAAAATTTTGAAATTCTTAAAACTTATTCATAAAACATTTTTGGCATCGAAATATTGCCTCAAGAATGCGCACCTTTCTATAGTTCCGCTAGGTGCAAAACAGAAACAATTAATTTTAATCCTATTCGATAATTTATAATTTTTAAAGTTTAAAACTTAATTTAAAATTTTTTAAATTCTTAAAACTTATTTGTAGAACATTTTTGGTACCGAAACATTGCCTCAAGAATGCATACCTCTTTATAGTTTTGCAAGGCAAAAACCCGGAACTTCTATTTTTTTATGTAATTCGATAAATTAAATTATTGCATTTAAAAAAAAAAAATTATAGATAAAGTTCATAAGCCGTCACCACTTATTTCAAAAATATTAGTGTGGCAGTGTTTTTTTGATGTTATCATTTTTTATCCAGAAAATAAGAAAATAATAATTAGAAAAATTATTTATGCAGGCATATATTTGATTTTCTTGGATAATCATACAAAAAAATTACTTGAGCGTTTGAGAATTAATTATGAATAGAGATAGATGGTTTATACTTTTTTGCAAATGTCTAGCATACATGGTCTGTCATCGTTTTCAGATTCCTTTGTGACTAGATAATGAGCCCTTTCAAAATTGTTGCTACGTTGACATGGTATGAATCTATCTCGATAGATTCATCTATCAAGTCGACATATCATATCATGTCAACGCAGTTATAATTTTAAAAGGGCTCATTATTTGTTAACAAAAGAATCTGATGGAAACAATGACGGAACATGTACGCTACATGTTTGCAAAAAGTTATGAAACGTGTACGAATTGTTATTTAATTATTGATAATTTTGATTTATATATGTAAATGTATACATATATTTTAATTTTCTTAACAAAATCGGTCGAAATGCCAAATGTGATGTGTCGGCGTGAAGCGCGTATTGGACAAAAACAGTACGTGAAATCTACGTTATTGCCATGTGAATCATGTATCGTGGAATCCACATGGATATTTGAGTGAATAATAAACGTTATTTTATTATTAATCTAATAATAGTTTATAGTATATACATGTATATACATACATCAGGGTTGAGAAAGTTATTTTGTAAAAGTATCTAGTTAAAGTTACAGTTCTTTTCACTAAAAAAACAACTAGTTACAGTTACAAGTTACCGACTCTGAAAAGTAACACGTCACAGTTATAGTTACTCAAAAAATAACAAGTCGTTACTTTTCAGTTACTTTTTTGCAATAAATGTGCACTACTATTTTAAATATAAGAATCTTACATTTCAATATTTATTAACTTATTATATACTACATAGGTACTTAATTTTGTGTTATATTATTTTATATGTAATAAATCACAATTGTTTTAAACTTAAAATATTAAATTAATTAATAATTTAAAATAAATTATTATACACTTAGATTAAAAATTATAGGATTAAAATTTTTCAGTTTAAAAATTCACGAATTTCACACAAACAGTTGTAACTTTCCGAAAAATCGTAGACTAATGTTTCAGTTCTTCTTAAAGTCTCAACTTTATGTTTATATGATAATCATCCTCAAAGATAATTTATTACTGGGTGGCAGTGCATTCTTTAAATGAGAATTTGTTTATTTCTGTTGAATTTCATAATTAATATCTATACGTTTATTCGTCTATTTATTTAACAAATATCGAATCTACACTTAATATGACAAATTCCATGACAATTGTGTTCCTTTCCTAATGCATATGTTTATGCGACTATGCAAGTGTGTTTGGATAGGCCCTAATTTTTACAATTAATACAATCGTATATAGAATATTAAAATAACTGTTAAATTAGTTACTAGTTACCATAAATGTGTAACTAAGTTAAGTTACAGTTATAGATGAAGAAAAAAGAACGAAGTTAAGTTATATAGTTATCGAAAAAAAATAACTGTAACTGTAACTCCGTTACAAGTAACGAGTTATTTCCCAACCCTGACATACATATATAAAATATTAAAATTTTTTATTACATATTTTTCGAAATAGGCGATATATTTGAAAAAAATTGTAAATATATTACAATACTAATAATGTATATTATAATACTAAATAAAGATAAAAATAATGAAATTTACAAGAAATAGTGCAGATATTTTTTTCATTACTTTTGTGTTTTGTGGAAAAGTGTCTTTTTAGGTAGAATTATAATATGTATACATATCCGACGGATCGGATAAGCCGCAGTTGCCGAGTTGGAGGATCAATTCGCGAAATTGTAAACAGCGACAAATTTTCCAAATTTGACGGCACGTGCTCGCTCGCAAAGAAAAAGGACCCGAGGAGATGCCACAATTCAATGGTAACGGTATACGCGGGAAGCGGCGTAGGCGGACGTCCTTGATTCCGATGATAGCGATCGAGACTCCTCGACTCTCGTCCTCGCCCGTCCATCCTCCCTTTTCCCTCTTCCGCCCTCCCCCCACCCCCTTTCGGGCGTCCCACCTGATTGGGCCGCGACGGAACTGGATTGTAGGACCGGTCGCGCAGTCACGTGTCGATGACTTTAGCAGGAATCGATGACCGAGGAAGTCAGTATCCTCCTCCCATTTGGGTGGGAAGAAAAAATCTCAAAACTTGTACACTTCGTGTATTTTGTATTTTGTATTTTATGTTTATTAGGTTGTTCTTAATACCATCCACTTTCGTTTAGATAGTTTTTCGAATCGAACACGTAGTATACATATATGCTCGTGAGTCAATGATTAATGATTAAAAAAAGTTCCGAACCACTCAAATAGTTCGTTAGTTAAATAAAAAGTTGATTATAGCATCAATAATTTGTTAATAATGCTTATACTTCATGTATGTGCATCAGATCTCGAACAAAAGATTCAAATATATTGTATGTTCGAACAGTTTAAAGAAAGACAAATAAACTTCGAGTTCCTACCTAATTTTAAGTAGAGATGTCAATTCTTAAATTTTTGAGTATATGTAATTAGTTTGAACAATTCAAACTTACCAGCTCAGAAGGCCCGAATTATTTGACGTTTGGCCACGAGATCCGAGTGTTGCTCGATCACCTGAAATTTGAAACACTAATATGATGTGTATGTTTATTTTAATTTATATTATATTTTAATTCTTCAAATGTTTACAAAATTGAACGATAAAGTGATAAATAAAAATCTGTTCTGTATTCTGTTGCAAGTTAAAATCCCATCTTAAAAAAACATGTAAAGTCAATATTCGCATTCATTGTTGCCGCTTTTCCGTAACGCCGATTGATTATCTCGTGCGTTACTTCGTTGTGCTATCGAGCGGTTGTCATTGCGAAAGTTGCGTACTTTATTTCATATTTTGAGAAGGTTAGTGCAGATATTTTTTTATCCCTTTTGTGTTTTATAAAAAATATTTTAAGTGTCTTCTTAGATAGAGTTATAATATATATTTCTTTGTAATTAAAAGAATAAATAGCGCGCGTGCAGCATGCGCTTGTGTGTGTCTAGTTCGTATAAATAGAAGCTAAAATAGTAAAAGCACCCGTCATGCGTGGATCGGCAAGAATGATGTATAATGCTACAAATAATTCATATCATTAATAATCTCACCGATAAACTTGGCGCTACCATTTAAACGATTTCAGACGGATGCAACATCGATCATTTGTGCATCACAAAAGATTGAAAAATTATTGTCCAGTGTAATGCATTTGCTTATATCTATCATTTATAATCTAATGTTTCATTCGCGTTAGTGAACTTTGCGGTTGTGCTCAAGTAAATCATTCAAGAAAATGAATTCCGCACTTATACGTATAAGAAAAAAAATCTCACACTTTACGTTACATACCGTTTACACATAAAATAATCAATACTAAATAAAAAAGTAAATTTTAGAATTGAAACTGCCAGGATTTTAGCATAAAAATCTAATGAAGTACACGGTATATGTACATAAAATTTTTACATTCTCTTAAATAAAACATACACTATTTAATAATTATAACAACCTTATATTATTTGATAATTATAAAATTTATGTAATTATTATGATACGAAATTAAACATTACGACTATGTTTATATACAGATAAAAACTTTTTGACCTCCTAGATACTGGGCAAATTTCACGTTGCAAAAGATGCCAGCGGCCTTTTCGTACCGTCGTTCGTGCGAGAGTGTACGGGATCGTGTCGCGATACTGTGAATTTACGACGGTCACCGAGCGAATCCATTTGTTTCATCTGCATCTGCTTAGCACGCTAATGCCGCTTTCCTCGTATTCCTTGCCTCACATCGCTAAGATTTTTTCTGAACGGAAACTACGGATTGATTTCTTCGACGTTATATTTATTATTCAAATAACAAACATATTCGTGACGATTGGAAGTTATTGAAATGATTAAAAAGCCACTTAAAAAGATTAGAACAAAAAGAGTAAAATTGTAAATAAATTTATTATTCACAGTCGATCTGGCTGAAAGATAAAAATATTTCTTCACGAGACAAAAGTAAACATTAAAACTATTCCTAGTGATTGCTGTTGATTTGTTGCGGAAGTGACTTTCAATTCAATATCTTTAAGACTTTTTAAAGAAAGACTCGGCGATCAGAATGAAATCTAACGTAGCGAGATCGGACGCTAATGGCAGATGCGATAACAAGCATTCCAGCCGCGCTATCGTCTATCGATGTTCGTTAGTACGGAACATAGCTGCACATTCCTCGAAGAATTTTTGTCAAGATGTTTATAATTAAAGGAAACGTCTATCCACATCTGATAACAATTATTCATGCAGAAATATCTTTACACTATTTTGCATTTCATAACTTGTTAATTACTGCTATTAATTTCTAATGTCTGTTATCAGTGAACTGAGTTTCCGTAAAATTCCTCATTTTTGATAGAACGTAGAATAACAGCGTATATTTAAGACTTTCTGAGGCATAGACTTTGCAACAAATTTTACTCGTACCTATACATAGATACACACATAATTTCCTATGAAAATTCATTTCTCACGATTTTATATCAAAAGAACTCTTTTTATCTTCTCCATTAAATGTAACATTTATGAATATGTATTTTGTACTTTTTTCAAAATATACGTGATACGCGAAATCTAAATAAAATACACGGAAATTGATACATGAAGATAAAAAACAAAAATTGCGAAAACATTTTCACATGATTGAGCAAAATCGCAATCACGTGAAATTTCATGAATAACGAATAATGACATACATACGTGATAATAGACACATAAAAAAATTATTGAATCTTATTTTTACTTGAATATCAAAATATTTGATTATAAAATCAACTTACATTATAAAATCTAACAACTATTCAACTATCTACTTTAAGAATTATCTTTATCGACTGCCTCGGCACAAAATAATTCACCATTCTGAATCCAGGCGGGAGCGAACGCGGTATCTTCGCGTTCTGTAACATTGATCGAGTTTTCTGCATAGACTTTACAGCAAGAAAAGAATTTGAACAAACAAATTATTACAGCATTTCTCGTGAAAAGTTTATTGATCTGTATACAGCATCTCTATCTGCATCTATTTTAGAGTTAGAATTACATACTCATGTGCAGTGTTATAGAACAGCAAAGACAGCGTACACTCGCGCCGAGATTTAGGATTGCGAATTATTCTGTTGTGAGGCAGTCGATAAAGGTAATGCTTATGACACACAGAAGGTTAATATATGTATTAAATAAATTATACATTTTAAAAACCTGCTAAATTTTATCCTACTCGTATATTAAAATATTTATAATTATAGATTTTAATTGGATATTTCGATATTTGAGTAGAATAAAGTTTGAAAAAAGTAGCAAACTTTTTTCATTCACTACAAAATTCATATTGCACATGATACATTTCTCACTTAATAATAATTAAAAATTATTACTGATGTATAAATATTTTTTGTCAATTTATGTCGATTTGTTATAGTAAAATATCAAATATCTCTCTCGATATACATTTTTTATAGGTCATTATTTATCGTACATTTAATTTCACGTAACTTTCGCTTTCTTCTCATGAGCCAATTTCTGTATATTGTATTTAAATTTTCAATATGTTATAAATATCTCTAAAAAAATTAAATTATATCTGGCATGTATAAAAATGTTTGACAAAAAGGCTAAATTTTTCTTAAAATCGCGATAAATAAGCGATTACAATAATCCAAAATCTTTACAAAAATACAAAAGTGGTGATATTACTTTATACATCGGGGATGTCGGTAAATGTCCTACGAAAATCTCTGCCGCTCTCAGGTAGGTCTCTGTTTCAATATACAATATACGTCGTATCTTGTTCAATGACAAGGACGAGTGTGCGTAGAAAATAATGAATCAAAAATAAGGTATCGTAAAAAAAATTTGAATATCTTCGATTTAAATCTTTCTTAGAAGTTGAATCTTTCAAAATTCATATTAAAAATATAATTTAAACAAATAAACTTGTAAACGAAATAAATTTAGTTTAAACATATCTAAGCGTTTAAATAAATAGATATATCCTCGAGTTTCTGCAATAAAAAAGAATTGCATTCTCGTCATTTTCGGAGCATGTAAACCCGGCATTATAGCTCGTTCCGTCATCGACCACGCGAGAATGCCGGCATACAACCGTCAGGAGGGGAGCCCGTTGAGGGTCCCCCAGGAACTCAGCTCTCAGTCGCAGCTCGACTGTCAGCGCGCGACGATCGGGCCGCGTATATCTGCTTGTGCTCTGAATACACGAACATAATATATATTTATATATATATATATTATATATTTATATATAATATATATATATACATACATACACGCAAAACGCACGCACGCCGCGGAAGGACGTACCTTCGTACGTCCATACAAGCAAGACGAGTCATACAATCCGCGTGCCGGGGTGAAATATCGCGATCTTCGTTCATGCAAAAGGGTGTATAGTACGTGCGTGTACACGTGAGAGAAAGATAGAAAGAGAGGAAGAAAAAAAAGAAAGACAGTGACAGATCCGCGGAAGGAACGCGAGAACCCATGCGTCGTCGTACAATATAGACGTCGCGACGGCGGCGCACACACACGGAAATCGCGAAACCGCGAGCGAGCCGGACGCGCCGCTACTACGCCCAGTCAGTCGGACGTCGGCACGGGCCCGACGACACCCCGACAAGACGGGGTATACTCTGTCGCTGTCACCGCGACGTTCCCACGGGTTCGCTACGTCACGGAGGGCTCCGCGAGTAGCTGACACGCGAGCGGGGCGGCGGGCATCGGCGGCGACCGGGTTGCGCGACCCTCAGGCGGCTCGTGACAGTGAAGTGAAGCACGCGTGAAGGGCGGCCGCGACGGAGGAGGGACGAGGAAGACATCAGTCTGCCAGACGGACGGAGAGAGAAAGCGAGAAGGAGAGGAAGAGGAAGAAGGAAGGAAAGGAAGAGAAAGAGAGAAAGAGAGAGAGAAGGGAAAGGAAAGAGAGAAGGTAGGGGAGCGAGGAAAAGGGCTGCAGGACGGGTGGTCCTGACAGCCAGCGGTGACGAGAGAAGACCGAACGTCCTGGACGAGCGAGCATTAAACGCCGGGGACTAATAGGGACCCCGTGCATAATTGGCACAGTAGACCGAGCTTTTTGTTAGAGAAATAAAAGAAGAAAAAAAAAAACGAATTATGCGATAGTTTACGCTTGCCACCAGGCTTCTCTCGGGAGCTTTCCCCTCGGTGTTGGATATACTTCCTTGGTCCAACCCTTGGCTAAGGCTACCGCGCGGCGATGAGCCATACCCTTCTCCCCCGGCTCGCTCGAGAGTGCGTGAGTCTAGTCGGGGAGTCTAGCCGTGATCATTACTGACCGCACCGGCAAAATTCGTTCCCGTCATCGTCATCGAAACACAACGGTAACGGAACATATACAATACAATTTCCATCGGCAAGAAGAAATTTTTTTCAAGAGACGAGACAGTCGCGTGCGCGTCAATCTTAAAGCAACCTCCTCCTCGCGGCGCGCTTTAAAAAGACGACAAGCGGCATCAAAACGTCGACCGACACGACGGGCAGCAGCGTACCATCGTCGCCGGCGAGAATCATCGCGAGTGTCGCGCGTCATGAAGGCCTAGCGTACGATACCGTGGGTCATCGTGGGTCGTCAGCGTCGTCGGGCGTGCAA